TGACCAGTAACTGACACCTACAAAGTATCTATACAAATGTGCTATTCTCGAGAAGATTCTGTCATGTGATGGAAGATTCAGGAAAGCTAAAGACACCATGACACAGAAGGGATTCCTATATAGGGACCCACATATCCCTATAACCCATATAGGGAAGATTGAGAGAGAGGTGTGTTCTCACCCATGTTTTGCAAAGTTGGCCCAGTACTTCATCATCCTCCTGTTCAGCAGCTTCTCCTCCTCAGTGAGGTCAACTGCAGTCATGAGAAAAATAAATCTTGAAGTCCATGACATCAAACATAACTGCTCACTCATGCTTCACATCAGAATTCCATCTGCTGTCAGACCATAACTATCAGCTTTATTACCTCCCTTCTTCACTACACAATAGTCAACATCCATGCAATCCTCTAATGGAATCCCTGCCCAGTGAGCTGTCATCTCCATCACAGGCTAGACTGGCACGGGTCCAGATTCTAACCTTGGTATAATTTTTTAGCCTATGATATGGTACACAGTTAAATTTATTCTCTCCCAGAATCTAGTTTTTCTCAAACGGACTGAGAACTCAGGAGTCCTTGGGATATCATCTGTGACTTCAGTCAGCTCAAGGAGAAAAAGGAAAACTCACATTTCATTCCAAAGACGAAGGACCCAAAGACAAAAATAATCTCATCACCATGGTCAGCCTTCACATAGGGTGGCCTAAAACTCTTGAGGGAGGTGGGTTGGTTTTGGAATTCATAGAAGTAGACAGGGGCATGGGAACCTGGAGGTAAGACAAACAGTGACTTAGTAGCCCATCAACATGATTTTTTTCTGATACGTATTTGCTGACAAGGTACTTTGATATGAAGTTACCTGGAATCACATATGTTAAAGGGGAGAGAAAGTTCCAGGCTGGAACTCTAGCTGTGTAAAAACTCAGTGCAAAACAGTGCCCATGGCCTTCCCAGCTGGATGGTTATGCCAAGTTAATAGATTATCAGAAACTCATTTTCTCCTCTGTACCTGGATGTCACTCTACTAAACTAGACATTGGTTGATCTGAATACCACGCTGCCTCACAGTGCTCACCCAAGGTCTACATCACTGAGCAGCTCCCCCAATCCAGGACATCCAGGGGGTACTGAATAGTGACCACCACCACATCCTCAGTGGCTGCCAGCAATGACCCATCAGTCATAGAAGCCATTCCTACAACCAGAACCCCACCATGGAACCACACCATCATTTGGAGAAGTCAAGAGGCTTCTTTCAGGCACAAGTTCAAGTGGAACTGACTCCCAGATTATTGTCTGCTTTCTATCTCTGCAGCTAAGCACACACAGGAGTCCTCAGCATCTTAGACCCAGGCCACAGGCGAGGAACACAGTCTCATCAGCGTATTTCCAAGCCCCACTGTTGACCAGGAATCTCAGTTTGGATTAATGGATTCAAGTCTAGAGTGATGTCATTATCACTCTCAGACTCCTCAAAAATGTGGAGAAGGGAGTCTCCATAACAGTGTTCCTGATTATGAATCAAAAGCATCACCAAATCTCATTGGCACAACCAATATCCCAAAGTTGGAAATTTGGCTTATCTCAGAGTTCATCCCTTGGATACCTGCCTGGGCTCTAAGGCTCAACTTTGTTGAGAATGTCCTGAGTGAGTCCATAGAACACAACCCTGACCTCTCAGAGTTCCGTGCTCAGTGTCCTATATCCAGGATTTAGTTGACCACCATGACTGAGAAGGTTCTCATGGACACATTAGGAAAAGACTTCTCATTAGGGTCTACACTGCAGTGGAACTGGTTGATTTTATGCTTTCTAATGCTCCTGAGAAATAAATCTCCACCCCCACACTGTTGACTGTGGCCCAACTCTCACAGGCAGGTTAGAGCCCTCACGGGCATGCGCTGGTGTGTAGATGTTGAGATACAGGCAGTCCTCAGACATAGAGATGGGAGGCATGAGGTGTTTTCTCATCTTCAGACCCTCTGAATTCATCATATCATCATTTTGTGGACACCTGGTGACAATGGCAGACAGTTATCAAGAGATGTCTGGTAGTCAAAACCGGGTTTTTGTATGAATTTTCTCTCAGACACTTTTGGCCCCTTTCCTTCAAGATGTCCCGCTAAAGTATGCTTGTGCTCTCAAGTCCTTTCCTATCAAGGTAAAGGCTACAGTCTCAATGAAATGAACCAGATTTCCAGAAACACCTGCACTTGGGTGAGGATGTATATGTTTTTCTTTCTGAGCCAAGGATATGGAGAACTCTAGGGGCTCAATGAGAATAACTTCCGGCACACAGTGACAGTCACCACTTCTCTTTGTACTCTGTAATTCCTGTTGAGGTTGTTAGTTTTGATTTCCAACTCGAAACAACAGAGCATCACCTGGGGGATTTAGACTCAAAGAAGGATTGTCTAGATAAGGAAAGCTTATGGGAATTTTCTTGGTTCTGTGAGTAGAGGTAGGACTGTCCCCAACCCTGAGTGGCGCCATTCCCTAGGAAGGAGCAGAGAAGGCAACTGACTACTAACAGGTATGGATGTGTTCTTTGACCTCTGATGTTAAAGATGTGATGATGTTCCAGTCCTGTAAGTTCCCCTTGCAATGGATGGTCATTGTATTATGGAACTGTGACCCATAATAAACTGTTTCTGCCTATAGTTGACATTACCAGGTATGTTACCCCAGCAACAAGAAACAAACTGAAGATACTTGGATAATGTGGTGCTCTGCCTATACAACTCCTAAGGAGTCAGTGGACAGCAATGTCCCAAAGACTAGTGGGATGGGTTTCACCCCACATCCAGAAACTTAGCGTAGTTCTCATTCCCACGTAATTTCCAGAGGAAGCATTTAGACATTTCTTTGAACAATGTTACTTGCCTCTATGGATTGTCCCAGTGAGTGCTGAGGATGGAGTTGCTAAGGACCTATCACTGATACCCTCCTGAGAGACTTACAGGACTTGGCACAAGACCCTGGGCTTTGACTGGTTAATGTGCTTATATTGGCCCTTGTCCCTAGATCTGTTCCATGGTGGCAGAAATCACTTGGCACAATCTGAATCTGGGAACCTTTTTTTTAAAAAATCTCTTTCTCACTACAAAATTGAGAGATAACTCCCTACAGGAACTGAAATATGGCCCAGGAGTTTGGCAAGGTTGCTTTGTTAGAAGCCTTAGTCATGTATCTGAAAATGCATGACAAACTACATATCCCAGACAGAAAACTTCTGTTATGTCGGGATGAAGGAAGCCCCTCATTCTGGCCCAGAGCTCAGAGCACATTCTCACCTCAGAGCCTGAAAGTTCTCTGAACTCCAGAACTTACATGGGTGGATAGGAGGTCCCATCTCTCACACCACTCCATAGTTCAGGGGCTTAGTGGGTGCAAAGCACAGTGATCCTACAGGTGGCTTGGCAAAGGGGATTTCCAGGAAGCTGTAGACACCAACTTCAGTGTTTTCCACCTTGACGAGGCTTCCTCTAACCTGGCCTGTGTGTGTGTTCCTGATGGGGCTGGCTGAGTCCTGGCCTGGGAGAGATGCCATCAGGGTTAGTTCTACTCAGGCAGCTGCCACCAGACTGTTGTTTCCCACCTCATTTTCTCTAGGGTACATGGGGAAGGGAATCTGGGGTGCCTGGGCTTAGCTATGAGATGTGGGGATAGGAGTTTCTTTATCGCCCTGATGGCCAGGGACACAGCTCATGTTCCTTTTGAGTGGTGGCTGTGCCAGCGTGTGACCAACAAGGAGACATCTCAGAGCCACTTGGCAGCATGGATGTATTATTTTCATTATCATCCAGAGTTCTGTAGCAGCTACAGTCATGCACAAAGGAAAGAAATGTCCCCTTTGTTCTTTCCCCTAATCTGCAGGTCCAGTGCTGCTCTGACCTCCTTATCCTGGATTGCTTTTTGGTATGGACTGTAGGGCCTGGTCTACCCTTGCTTCTTGGGGTGAAATTTGAGGATGGTTTCTGGCAGCAGGCTAAGCATCCTGTTTGCTCCTATGCTCCCTCTACCCTAGCCTGGTGATTAGCTGTAGGGTATTGTTTCATTTTTGGTATGGTAATTTCCCACCTGCCCATGAGGAAATCCTTGCAGCAACCAGAGTCCCCCCTGCCTGGGAGGTAATCCTTTCGCAGCAGCCAAAGTATATTAGTTTTGCAATAAGCTGAATAAAGTGGCATTCGGCTAATCTCTTTTCGAATGGCCCATGTCTCTTGTGTGTTTCTTTCAATCTCCAGGCCTTTGCCTGACTCTCGTAAGGTATAGCTGCACGCGAACTGTACCGAGAGGGTAACACAGAATCGGGTGTTACAATGGACATCTCTAGTCCTTTGAGTGCTACAGGGCTCATTATGTGAACTTTGGTGGGGGCTCTGGGAGACACACAGTTCCCTCATTCTTGTCTTCCATCTTTATAAACTCCTCCCTCCGTGGTACCTTCCCACAAGGTCAGCCTCTAGTCAGAGAAATTGGGCCCACCTAGCCAGTTGGTCAAACACCTTTCTCCTGGTCAAACCTTAGGTGCATATGAACACATCAAGACCAGCTTCTCACAAAAGTGGACAATAGAAATTTGGGAAGGAAATTGATGAGATTTCCTCTACTTTGATAATCTGGATAATCTGTCCAGAGTTTTCCATAGCTGGTGTGCTCAGTAACTGATGTCAGAGAGGTCTAGGAGCTGAGCTCTGGCAGCCCGTGTGGCTCAAATTTCTTTGTAGACACTGTATTTCTCAGCCCACAGAACTTTACATATATTTCTGCTATTTACAAATTACCAGACAATTGTTTCTGGTTTTGAGAAACAAGTTTTGCTATGTTGTCCAAGTCGGTATGGAACTCCCAGACTGATGCAATATTCCTGTCTCAGTTTCTGAGTAGCTGTAGCCACAGATATGTATCATAAGACCTGCTGGTGGTTAGTGATCTATTTGGAACAGCAGCCTAAATTTGTGAAGATCATGGGACTTCAGGGCTCACACATCCATATTCCACATTGTTACAAGAACTTTTATTGAGTGGATCTACCAGAATAACAGCAGTGTTTTGTGAAGAAGTGACATGCAGAGGTCTTGTCATACAGATTGGTATAAGGGGTGGCTGTATATGTTAGGAATGGTTATGTGAATGTTAGGATCGAAAGGCTGTCCAAACCTCGGACAGAACCCACATGTCTATGAAGCCCAATTCCTTTCTTCACACAGAATACTACAACTCTTTGTGCCCCTCCTGAGCCCCCTTTAGCTGCTGGATCTTCTGGGGCAGAGTCTGGGTCCAGAACTGCAGCCTTCTGGCCTTCAGGGCTCGGCCAACAGCAGGCTGGATGTCCAGCTGCAGGTACTGCTCATCATCGTCCATCACGGGCCAGTAGGGTAGACCCTCGCTATTGGGGTTCCTGTGGATATGACAGCCAGTGGGGGAAGGGTGAGGTCACTCTGACCCAAAGTCTGACCCCCTGATTTGAGTCAGTGCAGTGGAACAATTCGGCCAGTGGTGAAGGGGTTAATGGGACAGGGACTGATGGGACACACACAGATGTACACACACACACACACACACACACACACACACACACACGGGTACACACACAGAGGTACACACACAGGTACACACACAGGTAGGTACATACACACACACACACACACACACACACACACACACACACACACACACTTATAGGGATACAAGTGCCAAACTCTGGTTTCTGCTTTAGATGGGAGACAAATACTTGACCTGTTTTATGTGTCCGAGAGGTAATATCTAAAGAACATTCCCATAGCGCTATGGTTCATGAGCCAGGCCACTGTGAGATGACCAGTAACTGACACCCACAAAGTGTCTGTATAAATGTGCTATTAGGTAGAGAAGACTCCATCATGTGATGAAATAACTATGCATAAGAAGTCCTCCATCCAAAAGGGAGCCCTAGAAAGGGACCCACACCCGGAAGGTTGAGAGAGAGCTGTGTTCTCACCCATGTCTTGCAAAGTTGGACCAGTACTTCATCATCCTCCTGTTCAGTAGCTTCTCCTCCTCAGTGAGGTCAACTGGGGTCATTAGGAAGACAATAGTCCAAGTTAGGCTACCCCATGGAACTGCCAACTCATGCTTCAGACTCCCGATTCCAACTGTTGTCTGACCCCAAACTATTGGCTTTGCTACCTCCCCTCTTCACTATTCACAGTATCCATGATCCATGGAAGTCTCTAATTGAATTCCTGACCCACCCAATGTGCTGTCTTCCTCCATTACAGGCTAGCCTGGAACGGGTCCAGCTTTTAAATATCTATCTATCTATCTATCTATCTATCTATCTATCTATCTATCTACCTACCTAC